TAATTGAGGTGCGATTCTGTTATTATTAGCCCCATTTTCGATGCAGACTTCGTTCTTTAAATGAACTGCCACCGAACTGTCTTCCGATAATTCGGACAAAAGTTGTTCCTCTTCCTCATTGATTGTCGATACTACAGTGGGGCCTTGGTACAGCTTTTCAACACCAATGTATACTTTTTTTGCTTGAATACTAAAGACGGACTGTACCCAGCTCGCCTTATAATTGTCGGTAGCTGATCCGCGATGGAAAAGGCTAAAATGCTTGATCATTGTACTTTTAGTTCCACTGTAGTACGCTGTCATGGTATTTTCGTTATCCGGACAGATACCGCAAACGAAACCATTCGTATGAGGTAAACAACCAATGATGGGCACAGGCTTGTTATTGGGAGCATAGTACAAGCCCATGTCACGGAAGGTTTTTGCCCCAAGCTCATGCAGGTAATCTTCCAAGTCACAAAACGTACCCTCCCCCAAGTAGATTTTCCACCAATCTTTATGGACCTTATGGGTTTTCGTTAAGTGACCATTAAGATTGGATGGCTCAACGGCAAAGGAACAACTAAGACAGATAAGAGCACCTGACAAGCGGTGAATGACCATTCCATGGGAACTGAGACTTGTATCATACTCTATATCAATGAAAAAAGATAAATACTTCAATGATAAGTTGGATTTATATTTTACCTACCCGTTTCACAAAGAGGACTATCTGACTTTTCAGTATCCATATTCCCATCATTACCACTACCTCCATCATTATCCGCATCATAAGCAGGGATCGAGTCGGGTCCTACTAACAAGTCGGCGACATTCATACCATCAATCAGACCAGAATTCAAGTTTGCTTGGGTCTGAATTTCCTCTACCGAAACATCGACTGGACGGGTATGGCTATTGTCGTGTTCCTGAGTTGAAGTCGATGGTGGTTGACTGTCTGTAATGAAGTTAGTTTCAAAGTAACACAATCCAACAAAAACGGCCATACCATAATTAACACATTGTCTAACATGACGCTGGATTGAAACAGGTACATTTGTAAAATAGCCACAGATACAATGGAATTGACCATCATCACTTCTCATTACAGACTTTTGAACTCCTACAAGTTATAAATACTTTAGAGTTCAAAATTGGATATTTCTAAAATGACTATACAATTACCATTAATTGACAAAACCTTCACATACTTTTGGTGAAAGGTACGATTGTGTTTAGTGAATTTTTAGAATCAGCAAACTCTTGAAGAGGAACACACTTATTACAGGAAAACATGGCTATTTAAATGTTAAACAGCTAGTAAATGTAACACTGTTGATCAGTACTATTAACAAGTATGACTTACCTTTAATAATAATAATAATAATTGAAAGGAGACCTGGTTAACAATGGAGAGGATACAAATATATATTTTGTGCTTCAAATTTAGGACGTTTTTTTTTGGTGTCCCGTTAATTTTTTTTTTTTTTTTTTTTTTTTTATTGGAACAGATATGTCGTATTTAACGCCTAATTTTACGAATATAATTACTATTATCTTGTCACTGAATTATAATACCTATACCCTATATTGCGAATACATTCCTATGGGTGCGACACAGTACCAGCTCCCTCATATGTCAAACTGAGATCAGATTTCATAATCGTTCCTGGATTGGTCGAGTAGCTGCCGAAGCTTCTAGTTTCTTATAAATTTATTTTATTAATCCAATAAAAACCCCTGTCATTGAATGGATAAACTATAATGCTCTAGAAATGTCGGATATGGTCAATTAGCTCCGTGTATATGACAGTAAGCTATGTTTCATATGTAACTGATTTCTAAATCTAATTCTACCATTTCCCAGTTTGCGGGTAAATAGTTAATTCGATCTGCGCAGGAAAAATCTTGAAGTACTAATTGAACCTCTATTTTATCATGACAAACTCTCCAACTTATAATAAAGGATTACAGAGTCTCATTTCTTTACTTGCCTTATTTTCCAATTTACATTTCCCTTTTTATTACAATTATCACAGTCATAATTGCTATTATTATTATTTTCTTGAAGAGGAAATGGACTAGATTGTTTGTCGTTCCTAATACAATCCACAGTTGATTCCACTCCGAGATCCAATGGGATACATGCTTTCTGAGCCACGCTTTATTTTCCTTTTTTTTTCAATTAACAAATATATCTGTTTCTTCCTTATATCTTTCTAAGCCGCGCATCGTAGAGTAATTTTAGAGAATATCAACCATCTGACATGATCGAGGCAATATGCTTAATATATAACTCTATCTACACTCCTTAAATCTTCCATTTGATAATCCTACTTCTAAAATGTTAAAATATGATTTTAAATGTCTTGGTGTCTTGTAATAAATATTGGTATATGTTGGCAATGTTTAGAGTTCCATGTTAAAGCGAAAAGATTGAAATTCGGTTTTTCCGAATCAAAAGGTTGGTAAATAGATGTACTCTCTTGGCCTTGGGTATTAATTAGAGTTTCAAAAAGACATACTTCTTCCTTTGTATGAACAGCAGTTACAGCATACAAGGTGCCTTGACAATTCGATAGATATTTGTATTTGAACTCGTTAGCGGAATAACCAATTTTCAGAAGCTCCACCATAGGCAAAGAAGCAAGTTCTGTCATCCAACCTTTTGTTATTTTAACTTTGTTTGGAACAAAAGATTCGGCAAGCCTAATTCCAATTGAGTTGCCAAATGTTCTGGGTATATCGACGACACCAAAAGTTTCATTGGTCTGTTCAAAATTCAAGTAACTCCCATAACGTTCACAGGTATAATTCATAACGGTATCGTGACCTACCTCAGTTCTTAATAAACTTATGGCCAGTACAAACCAATAACTATCATGGACTTGATGCTTTTTACCGTATCTGTTAATTGACTTAACTTATGATGATGTATAACTTTCAGTTAATGAAATATTTTTTGAATCATTTATTACTTACATTGAGGTCATGATATAGCAAACCTTTGAACAAGGTTCATATGGCATTCTCCTTCAACCGAGCTTGTTCCTCTGGAACATTTATATGTCATGAGATTGATTTTGTCCTGGCCTTTTTCGGTATATAATGGAGGCTTTTTAACAACGTCTGAGACAGGCCCTTGATTCACCGAAACCAAAACATGCAGGGACATGGCAACAGCTGCGTCATTAAAGAGTTTAAGGCCGGAATGCTCACATCTGAGAGGACTGTAACTTTCAAAAAGGAATTTCAACGCGGGGTGTAGTTCTTCGGCTGGGGGTATATGTCTTCTTACACGTTCAAATATACAAGCAGGGTTTACCAACATATGTGTTTTCCAATCCGTACCAATACTTTAAAGACAACTTTCTACTAAGGCTTTATCGTCTTGGTCACATACATACATGATGTCACAGAACCGACGCTCGAAGTCTTTTTGCATTCCATGAGACTTGTTAATTTTGATCACGTCCATTACATGAAATCCATCCTTTAAAACACGGGAGTCGACATAATTCTTACCGGTATTAAGTGGTTAAGAAGTGATGTCGTTGTTAATGGGTGGCATTTGTATGATTGGGATATTAGAAGTATCAGAAACTAAATTATGTACTCTTTCGAAGCTGTAAACAGATATTTGCATTTGATATAAACATTAAAGGGTATATCATGGAAACCACCTAAGGTCAGACCCTCATTGTAGCACTCCAAAGGATATCCAGGAATAGTTATCTTCACAACTGTTACAATAAGTGCACTGTTGGCGGTAAAGCAGCTCGGGATTCATTTTTTACTTTAAAGAAAAAGAATCGCTTGGGGGTTGATCCAAAATGTGACATTGATATATTGACTTGGTACATGTCTACCTTTAATATTGTCCTGTATGCCTCCAAGATAATTATCAAGACATCCATTTTCAGGAATATTGGAAATACTGTTTTCAAGAGCATTAAATTGCTCCTCTGTGAGCTCATCAAGAAGTTGAGTTCCATCAATATCGTCACTATCTTCGGCATAATCGACATCAAGATTCATACCAGCAGCTTGATTAATGTTCTAATTTACGTATACAATCAGTGTGCTAAATATTTCAAAAATAATTAATCTGGTAGTACCTCGTCAGCAATATTTAAGTCAATATTTCTGTTATCTTCACTCGTGGCAATGCTTTAAGATGATGTTGTACTAATATGCTTTTTCAAGGATACGTGTCAGTCGCAAAAATAACGGCATTGTATATGTTAAATTTTTACCCCGTCATTGTTTTCTGAAATATCATCATTAGTATATGGTGCTTGAGATTGTTAAATCACAAATGTATCTTGTAAAATTGAATTCAGAATTACTGATCTCCGCTTGTGTTGCAATATCGTTAGAAAAGCTTAAACGGGGTTGATTAACTAAATGATACGGCTTAGGACCAGGTGCTTTAGATCCAGGTTTACTTTTACAGCCGGATGGACGTTCTTTTTCTTGAGAGAAATATTTGACATATAACATCTATTTTAAAGTTTAGACTATTTAAATGTAATGTGTCTATTGACCGACAATTAATTAATCAATAGATATTCCTTATTTAAAATTATATGTTATATATATTCTGGTACAAATTGGATGATTATTTTTAAAAAAAATAGGCAAACAAGGAGAAGAAACGGTTTTTTATGTAGAAATTTGATTGATTTATAAGTGTCAAAATTCACGAGGGGACAAACAAAGGCACACAGAACAAAGGAAAAAAAACACTTTTCAAACCCAGGTATACTATTTCGCGCACATTTATTGGCTCCTTACACTATTTCGAGCAATGTTATTGGCTCCTTACACTATTCCTAGCACTTTTATTGGCTTGATTTGGCCCGCCTATAAGCGTACTGCCGTTTCAATGGTTTTCTCCCAAAATGGTGGCACCGTTGCTGACAAACAACACCAATGGCACCGGCAATTTTCTGAATAAGAACATGCCCAACATGGTTGGTCAACATGGCTGGTCTGAAGTCGAACCACGTCTGACACAAATGGCACTCGTAAATGACGATGCGGGCCAGGCGCTTAAGACTATGCAACTTGGCCTGCCACACTACTCGACGGCAACAAACAAAATGTTGATCCCGGTGAGTGTCTCACCCCCTAAAACAAAAGTCAGATTTTAAAGATATGTTGTAAGGGGATTCTAATTACCTATTAGCTTAATAAATCAAACTATCTGAGCACCTTCTTGACTATAATCTACTCTCCAACTAACAAGGAAAGTATTGACAAACGTAGAAATTCGGGTGTAAGACGACTTATATTTTATTTATTTTGAACTTGATTATTTATATTTGATTTTCTGGCTTGAGTTACATATCAGTCACCGTGACCTCACCTCAGATTAAAATAAGCTTGAGGACGGTGCTTAAATACCGAGTCAGAAGGGTTATGTGATTAACTTCTTAGAGGAGAATAAAAATGATGTTTATTGATTGACAATTGAAGCTATTTATATGTTTTACAATTGTCAATCCGGAGTAACTACGATTGTATTGGTTCGTAAGGTAGTAGATACGATTGCTGCGGTTGGTTATGTGTATTAAGTTACAATCGCCGATTAGCGGATTGATGACATAATGGACTCACGACAAGATAGAAAAAAAAAAGAAAAAAAAAGCAGATACCTCTCCAAGTGTCAAACTTCAGTCCGACCCCCCGACATCTCTCCATCATATCGGCCGTCAAGGCCACCAAACGCATCACCACAACAGTGATTAAATTTTCTCCAGCCTCCATATTTTTTTTTTTTTTTTTTTTTGCAAATGAATATCCAGCCTCGACTTGAAAGTTGCCGTCGAAATTTCCAGAAAAGCTCTTGAACTGAGCGAAGCATTGTAATCTAAGTCTAAATGACACAATTTAACAGTGTATCAGAATTTGCGATTATTTTACGTACTCTGCTTTGGGATAACTTCCGCCAAAACGCGACCTAGCAATATTCGAGGATCTGTTTTAATATCTATGAGTTAGCGGTCTTTTCAATGTAAAGTCCATGTAAAATATGTACCAAAAGCCACCAGAGATACCGTAGTTAATGGTGTTGCAGTCTCTGCAACAGTTTCCACGGAATGGACAACATTCTCCATGTTGATACTTATGGGCTTCCTTTGTATCATTCTTCATTGCTACTTTCTACAGCCTGCCTACCCCAGTCATATGTCGCTTTAGTTCGTACTCTATTAAATAAAAGCTTCTTGGTTATTGTTGTATGCCTCCAAATTTCGAGGATTTCAACAAGAATTCTTTCTTCCTTTTACAGATATAGACAATATAACGGAAAGGTTTGTGAATGATTCCTCTTGTTTTTGGGAGAGATAGGCAATAGATGACAATGATATTTATGGGGAAATAGATCTTAAGGATCAAGATGGACGAACATATTCAGTTATATGTAGGCGACATGTTTGCTAAGCCAATTTGGTAGAGACGACTATTGGAAAGATTATGAACAATCAGTAACTCTTCCTTTGACTTTGTTTGCTGAGCAATTTCTTACCAAATATCAATCATTGAAATTAAAAGATTTGAACATCACCAAGTTTTTAAATTGAGCAAACAAACAAACTATATAGTTCAAGTTAATAAAATCGTATAGGTGAAATCAAGAGTAACAATTACCCACCATATAGTCGTTCTAAAGCTTTGTTGGGGGTAGCAGTAGCAGAACATATAAACGCCTTTAGATATTCAGATTAAGAATTTCAGAAATGAAAAGAGGGAAAGAAAATTTTTTATTCCTCATCCTTTAATCGCGTATTGTTTGTCGTTCCTAATACAATTCCAGTTGATTCCACTCCGACATCCAATGTGATACATGCTCTCTGAGCCACGTTTTATTTTTACTTTTTTCAATAAACAAATATGTCCCTTTCTTCCCTATATCTTTCTAAGCCGCGCATCGTGGAGTAACTATGGAGAATATCAATCATCAAGAACATGGTGAATCATCGCAACAACAACAACAATTATACACGCGAGAAGACGTTGAACGATTATTTAAAGAATTCAGACGTGAAGAGCAGAGAAACGCAGAGAAAGCATCACAAGGAGCACCCCTTCCTTTGGTCATATCATCCGAATTGGAAAGCTATAATATGCAACAATTACGAGACAACTTTAAAAGATACAGAAGACATATACAAAAATATCAAGATGAACACTGGACAATTGGAGAATCAATCGATAAACCACTCATCCCAAACAGTTAGTATTCTATATAAGGGCTCAGAAAATACAAAAATCCAAGCAAGAGCAGCTACAGAAATCTGTGAACAATTATCATACCTGGAGAACAGAGTTCAATTTGCCTCAGAAGAAGACAGAGATATGTTCAAAAATACTATTGATCAAGTCCAGAAACTATTAGTCTATGGCTGGGGATCAGCTTCTTTGCAAGACCGAAAAACCAAGGCTTCGGCTACCAAATATATACAACTACTAAACACGCTTAAACATTTGGCGTCAATAGAAGATGAGGGAAAATCAAGAAATGCCTTTGGATCCGAATTCATACAGGAGCTTAACAAAGCAAGATTTGAACAACAGGTCGTCAGGGGAGCAGCGTACAATGGAACGAGAGAACGCGGTAGTTTTAGAGGACGACGTTTTGGACGTCGAGGATTCAGAGGATTCGAAGGAACTTATGGACACAGTGGATCCCGTGGAAGAGGTCAACATTTTCAACCAGGAGGACGGGGAAGAGGTGCCCCCTTCTCTCATCAACAAGACAACACCTCACCTCCAGCAACCAGCAACGAAGCCAACCAATAATTCAACAACAATCTCAAGGTCAACAAATTTTACAACAACAACTACAACAACAACTACAACAACAACTACAACAACTCAATCAACAGCATCAACAACTCGCGAAAATACAACAACATCAACAACATCAACAACATCAACTCAATCAGGAACATCAAAAACCGAATCAGCAACATCAACATCAACAATTCAGGCAACAAAATCAAGAGCAAGAACGCCGAAATCAACAAAAAGAACGCCAAGATCAACAAAAAAGCACAAACAACCATTACATTATTCCGGAAGACGGAATTTACCCAGGAGGTCGACTCAGCAAGTTTCAAGACAGGTGGAAAAAAATCACTCCTCATCCATGGCCATTATCAGTTGTATTACAAGGTTATCAGCTTCAATTTGCAAAGAAACCAATCCCATGGAAATCTCATCGAATGAGGATGTCGTTGGAAGATCAACAAGCAGTGGATGTAGCAGTCAAGAAATTTCAAGCCGCAGGAATAATAGAGGTGTCACCAACCCAAAACAAACAATTTCTGTCCAATCTGTTTACGATTCAAGAACCGAACAAGATAAGACCAACCCTGGACTGTCAGAAGTTGAATCAGTTCATACAATGCAACCACTTCAAGATGGAGGGTGTTCCTGCCTTGCGGGATATAATAGAGAAGAACGATTACATTTGCAAACTGGATCTCAAGGATGCTTATGTCGTGGTCCCAATCCACCCCCAATCCAGGCTATACTTGACATTCGAAAACAAGAATTTAGTGTACCAATACAGATCCCTAGCGTTTGGACTCAGTGTCGCACCGAGAGTCTTCTCAAAGTTGATGAGATATGCAATCGAACCATTGAGGAAACAAGGCTTTCGTCTGGTTTATTATCTGGACGGCATTTGCCTGTTATCAAAATCAAAGATGGAAGCAAAGAATCTATGCAAGGTAGTAATCAAACATTTGGAATCATTGGGATTTATAATAAATCGAGAGAAGAGTATACTGACCCCATCGCAATCACAGGAGTTTCTGGGGTTCCAATTCGACACAAAAAGGATGATCCTTTCAGTACCGCAGCAGAAGATAAAGAAGTTGATACAACGGGTGAGACAAGCTCAGAATTTGAAAGTTCCTCGGTCGTGCAGGTGGATAGCAAGCTTGCTTGGCAAGATGACTTCAGTAATACCGGTAATTGGAGAGGCTTTGCTTCACATACGGTATCTCCAGCGAGACCTGTCGAAGAGATGGGACAGCAAATGCAACTTGTTAAAATTAAGCCAAGAAGAACTGAAATGGAAATTAGCCGCTTGGCTACTATCAACAAAGTGAGACAGAAAATAGGACTGAAGAAGAGAACAGCAAGGTTTCTGGAGAAGGCGATTAGACCAGCAACTCACAAGGCATATGACAATGGTTGGAAACGGTGGAAGAATTGGTGCAAGACTGAAGACAAAGATCCTGAAGATTACAATGTCAATAGCGTGTTGGAATTTTTGGTTCAGAATAACCAACTTTCCTAACTACACATACTTAAATGGGTTAAGATTGTCAATTGCTTCGGTGTTCAAGGAGCTTCATCCCGAAAAAGATCCTATTGCAAAACAGCCTATTATTCAAGATTTTTTTGCAGCAAAACGAGGGTCAGAAATAAGAATACCATCGCAACAAGATCTGGAAACATGTGACATGACAGTTTTAACGGATTACTTAAAACTGACGTATTTCAATACTACTAGTTTGGGTCTACAAAATTTACAACAAAAATCAGTGCTTTTGCTTTGTCTGGCGACAATGTGACGACCTCGATCTGATATTGGACGTCTTCAATATAGGGATGTTACCCTGAGGTTTAGAGGAGACGGCTCGATAAAGGCGTTATCAACTCTGGAGAGTGCGATTATACATGTAAGAACTCCAAAAGAAAGTCAAGTCAAATCCATACAACTTGGAAAATTGGAGATGGAGGATATGTGTCCAGTGGCAACATTTTTTGGTTCTTGGAGAAAACAGCTCATTTGAGGTCAGGCCTGTCAAAGGCGCACACTCTGTATCTGGCTTACATTGACAAGGAAGAATCCAAGGTATCATCGATTTGTCCTTCAACACTGGCAAACTGGGTTAAAGTAGCTATGCAAGAAGCTGGGATCGACACCAAGGTATGCAAGCCTCATTCTATTCTGGCCGCATCAAGTACGAAAGCAGTTCAAGTGGGTAACAGTATTCAGGATGTTAAGACACATGCAAACTGGAGCTTAAATAGCAATACATTTGAGAAATATTACTATAAACCTACGGCTCAAGAATCATCAAGTACCAAGATTACCAATTCAATTTTTTCAACGGAGAACAGTATCACATTGGATATCGGAGTAAAATCAACTGGAATTGTATTAGGAACGACAAACAATACTATAGTTGATGAAACGAAGACAGAAAATGTGATTCATGCCCGCCTTTGGTATCGACGTTTGTTTGGAAAGGACCAATAATTTAGTATCCCACCCAAGAAAAAAAAAATTGAATAGGTTTAGCTTAGCTAGAAAGATATAGAGAAAGGGACATATTTGTTTATTGAAAAAAGGAAAAATAAAGCGTGGTTTAGAGAGCATGTATCACATTCTCTGTCTTCATTTCATCAACTATAGTAATCAACCAAATTATTTAATTGGAAACCGAAAATGCTTTTCTTTTCTTTGGCTTCTTTCTTTCTTTTTTATTCTCTACTTTTTTTTATTATTATTCTTTCTTTGATATCAACATATTTATAAATTATCATAAACATATACATATTTCACAATAAACGTCAATATATTATTTTTCATCTCCAAAAAAAAAAAAAAAAAAAAAAAAAAAAAAAAAAAAAAAGGACATTTTGGCTGTTCTCAAGCAAAAAAATTTGATACCCCCCTCTTTTTGTAAAAATTTGATACCCCCTCCATAAGGAAATTATAACCTTAAAATTTCATATTCCTCAGCCAAAAAACGTTGAAAATTCCTACTAACCATTTAAAAAGTTAATCCACCCTCAGAGGGTGGATTAATTCTCAAAATAGTATAGCGTACTATCTTACTTTTTGGCAGAGAATTATAAAAATATAAGGTTATAATTGCCTTATGGAGGGGGTATCAAATTTTTCCAAAAAGAGGGGTTTACAAATTTTTTGCTTGAGAACAGCCTTTCTACACCTTTTGTGGAAATAATTGGCACACACCCCAAAAAAAAATGGCACACTTTTTTTCGTTTTTGGCACACTTGAAAATTACGTATGGCACACTAATCCAAATCTAGCTGGCACAAAAAAATATTAATGATGGCACATTATTGTAATTTTTTTGGCACACTTCTTTCATTTATAAAAATATTATTATTTAAAAACATATCGTTTAAAGTTTATTTCGAGGATGGGA